CATTTTCATAAATTATGGAAAGAGATATAACACACTCACACTCACACTCTCAGTCCCAGTACTCCTTCCTTCCATCCTTCTTCATTATTTACCAACCAACCATCAATTTCTGGTTTTAATATATGTATATGTATATATCTATATGATTCCTTCATCATTTTTATTATTTATTATTCTCTTCCCAATACTGAATAGACAATCAGAATATTTACATATGCGGAATCGATCCTTTTCTCTCTCTCTCTCTCTAAATACTATACATTTACTGTTCATGTCATCATGATGATATTTCTGATCTCAGATTTTTGATGGTGATAGTCTTCCTAGTTCACCCTTTTATTCGATTCTTCTCATACAATTTATATATATTTTCATTCATCAATATCAAATTTACTCGAGCCTCTATATACTTTACATATCAAATTAGGTGAGGTGCCGTATATAGACATAGAATTTAATTAGTTTTGACATTAACTGTAACATTCTAGGGTTTGGTCAGCTTTATCATAATTGTTGAAGAGATTTTTCTGCTGTTAATTACTGATTAGTAAATGGTTAGGTACGTAACACTTATTTTTTTTAAAATAAAATTTTGTTATATAAATATGAGTGATTCCGGCTTTGATTATTTGTGCTTAGGTTATTGTCATATGGACCATCGAAATCTTATCTTGTCCTATACAATAAACAAATAAAAAGTCTGAAGATTTAATTATCTGCTAGCTGTTTTATAATTAAGGGTTTTTGTTTTTTTTAATAAAGTTAATATCAGTGATCACAAGAGTGAAAATGCAATAAGTATCTGCAGCTTTTTTTTTTTGAAAATGTAAATTTTATAAAAGAAGAGAAACTATACATATGGCATACCCGATAAGAGATGATCTAAAGAATATCAGAACAAATGTACTCATCTTTTCGGACAAAAAGATGGGAACAAACGCTCAAAAGGGAGTATGTAGCGATGGATCTAGGATTTTTGTCAAGGGAGGCCTCCGCGGCTCGGCCATTATTTGACAAATAATTAATGAAAACTTTAAAAAATTATCAAACTTTAATAAAAAAAAATACAATATTAAGAACCTGAGGAAAAAGAATATACATTAACACAATATTTTCTTAGTTAAATAAATCTATGAGAAGCAAAATTTTGAGTAAAAGTGTTGAGTAAACCTTGAACAAAACCTTCTTTTAATATTTTTATTTTTGGCTTTCAAATATAATAATATAAATTTTCATAACGTTGATCAAACCTAGCCTAATTAAGCTAAAGTCAACCAAAACTTAAATCAAGTCAATGTTACGTTGACTTTTAATATGAATTAATAAAAGAGGGGAAATTTTTTTAGTATAAACATAGATAGTAACTCAATTTTTTTTAATAATTTTAAACAACTGAACGATAACGTTTAAAATATAGGAAAGTGGTGGATAAATGATGAAGAATAATGTCCTTTAAAATATAGTTAAGGTTTTAATTTGAGAAAATAGGTTTATTCTTAAACAGAAAATACAAAATAAACTCACAAAATTAATATCTTTTTCTCTTAAATTAGAATAAAAAACCTCAAAAAGAAAAAAAATTGATTCAATACTTAAATAAACTAAATTGAAATAAACAATACACATACTTAAAATCTATAAAACAGAAAACGGAGCTAATTATGACACCTTGAATAGTGAAAATTTAACAATTTCAATCTTCAAAAATTTTAAGAGAGAATAACATGAGAAAGAAAAAGAGAGAATAAAGAATTTGTGGGTAAAATCATAAAAAAACAGATAAAGCTATGTAGAAAAATACTAGAGAGAATTTTTAAACTTTTAATATGATGTGGGCTTGGAATATATATATATATATATAACAAGTTTTTTTGTAGACATAGATATACTTTGTAGACATAGATATACCTTATGTATAATAATTTTTATTTTTTTTAAATTTGAAGGTGTGTCTAGATATATATATTAATTAACAATTTTTTATGGCCTGTATATTAATATATTTTTTTTTTTAAATCTGAGGGGGCTGAATCTGCCCCTGCCACATAGGTTCCAAAACAAACAGAGAGATGGGCACATGCACTCTAACGAAGCTCGCAGGCTCAAACCAAACAAAAAAGAGAAAATGGGCACAGGTGCCCGATAAGAGCACACAGGTTCAGAAAAAACAACATCAATTAGTTTGGCAGGCTTCAAATGACTATAAGCTGAGAATGGATAGCATACTTGGATATTAGGTTAGAAGCTCGATCTCAGACTATGGAAAGGATCTCATTTGTGATCACACGCGAGATCTTGATCTCATGTCTAAATACACGGTTATTCCTCTCACACCAAATAAAGTAAATATCTACAGCTGGTAACAAGTATAATTAATATATATTTCAAGCTTAATTTTCTTAAACAAATACTTCGAAAAAGGTGAAAAGGCATTATGTAAGTCAATAACATCCTGGTGATTATATTCTGCAACTTTGTTTTTGTTTATTAAGCACTCAAATTCGATCCTCAACTCTACTGCTGTTTGATTTCTTCTATATATATGATAGTTGGAAAAAACTATAAATGGGACAAATTAAAAAGAAAAGAAAAAATGACGCTGATGTTGTTTTTCGCTTTCATATTGGAGAACGATAGTTCAGCTCGTAGTGAAAAGATAAATGGCTCTCTGAACAATGAACAGTGGTGTCTTGGATCTGGGGACCGTTTATTGTTTTCCATTTATGATGGTAACTTAAAGGAAATTGTTCAGAACAGAACAGTGTTATGCCCAGCAATTTTTCTGCTTTATTCAGAGTGGGAAAAAAGAGGGAGCTAATACCCCACAACTCTGAAATTTCTGTATAAATCTAAAGATGCCAAAACAGTTTCTATCAGAACCTTCTATGCAATCTAATCCCTTTTTTATTTTAAGGAGAAATTATCGATCTTTAATTCCTTTTAAAAAAGATTGTACTTAGGGTTTCTTCTTTTCTTTTGATTCTCCCCCTCTTTTTGGCCCATTTTGTTTAATAAATTATCTATAATTGAAAAGGGTATTCTTGTTTTTGAAGAAGAAGAAGAAGAAGATAAATTAGCTTTACTGCTAATTTAAATATGTTAGTTGCCGTATTACAATTGCTGTTTAACTGTCCTTCAAATTAAGCTTGAGGTTTTAGGGTTTATAATATAGCTAGGGTTCATTAAATTATTTAGGGTTTAGGTTCTCGATATGATAGAGATATAAAGTAGAGGTCAGCTTTTGACTGGTACAACCGCAACTACAGTCTATTAGACCTTCAATTATTTTGGTGAAGATGAAGATTCCCATTTTCTAGACTGTTAAGGTAACTCCAAAGAAAAGTTTTTGAAGAACTCTAGACTCTTTCTCACACACAACCATAATCATAAACAACACACACGCACAAAAACCTATCAATTCTGATAAGATTCTTTCTTCTATATTGATAGATTTGGTAAACAGTCAAAAACCCAGATCAGAAGTAGATCCTTGTCTTAAATTTTCATTATAAGAGTTTTGTTTACAGACACATGATGATCTTCCCCAACCCAACACAAAATTAAAATTCAGAATCCACCAATTTTTTCTGACGAAATCATTTAAACAGTACTTGTTTGGGACCATATTCTTTAAGCAGAGCTGATTAGCTATGAACTCATCATTATAATTCCCATTTGTTCTTCGTTTAGAAATGATTACTGTTTCTTTTTGGCGGACAAACACTTTAGCTTTTTAGGGTTTCTCTTTTTCTCTTGCTGCAGAATTTCCAAGTTGGGTTGTGAACTTCAGTTTATAGACTCATGAAAAAACTCAGAAACTTACAGCTTAATTGATATTCATCAAGCCAAAAGGACACAGTTCATTGTTGTCGGCATAGTGTACTCTGAGAAGATGAGATTTAAAGGGTTTCTGAATTACAAAATCAGCAGGAAATTAACTCATCAATACATTGAAATTAACATAAATTGTCTTACTTGACCTGGCTGTGCCTTGAAAAATCTCACTGCCATTGCCATACATTACATATGCGTGGTCCATGTTTCTACCGAGTGTAGATGCTTTAAAGAAGCTAAAAATTGGTCCCTCTTCTATTACCTATATCTGTCATCTACTCCTACTACTGCTGATGGAAACTCTTCTTCCATACACCACAACTTTGAAAGCCACACATATATGACCAAGACTTCTTATCTAATCTTTCATTATATTTCTCTAATCAAATCCTCTACCATTTAACTGAATTTAAACTAACCCCATATATATAATGCTGTATAATTTAACTCTATCTTCCCTTTCTTCTTAAACTACGTACGAAAGGAGAAGAATTAGGGTTTTAATTTTATTGCATCATCTTGTTCAGTTAGCCATTGATGAAGAGTAACCTTTTTTTGCTAATAAATGTATGATCCTCAGAGAATTAACAAATCATCTCTCTCTTGTGGGTTTTTGAAAGATTAACTTTTTGAAACTCTGATTTCTGAATTACTAATATGTAGTATGAACAAGTTGAGGAAAATATCAACTAATTGAATTAATTAATTGATGTAACTACTCTTAGGTGACCGAGTGATTGAATAGAGACTTTTAGAGTATTATCTAAGAGGTTCTGAGTTCGATTTACTTTGATTACTAATAGGGGTGACAACTGAAGATTTACTGAGTCGTTAACTTTAAGATCCCGAAAATTAATTGAGGTGCATGTAAGCTAGTCTGGACACCTTAGTCACCAAAAAAATAAATAATTAATTAGTTGATGTTTCAATTTATGAAGATGCCACATGGTCATCGATATGCCACACCTTTTTCTTTTTCCACCCCAAGCCAACATGCCACAGTTAAATTCCAGCATCTTTTCTTTTCCAAAAATTATGATTTATTTTCTCACTAAAACGTTTAGTCTCTGCTGTAAAATTCCATTAAAACTAACCATAGACACTCTTTTATAAAGTTATTTTGAAGAGCATATACTCATTAAACACTACTTCCATGTTGCTGTGACCTGACCTCCAACTACCTCTCATCCTCCTTTTTGCCCTACTGGACAATCAAGACTAAATTATTATCAGCCGCAACAAGCCAGGCCTGAAATTTTCTGCTTCATGTAAGTTCATCCAAGCTAATTTAATTTCAGAATAGGAAAGGGGAAAGCTAAGTATGTTAGCCATTTCTATCATAAGTCTACGAGTTTCTGGTTTCGGCTGGAGAAGTTATTTTCATCTTCAAATTATTGAATTTTGTATAATAATTCAGGAGTAGATTACCTTCTATTACTTCCCTCAAATCTAGAAAAGCAAAATCAAAAACCTATAACAGTTTCTATTCTTCTACTTGTTTCAATTACTTTAGTTTTCAATACTTGTTTCAAATTTCAATTACTTCAGTTTTCTTTCTTCTATTTGCTTTACATCATCAATGTTAAATCTCAACTCAAATTTTCCCTCATCATGCAATAGTTTTTGAGAGTGGCCGGTCAAACATTCATCCTTTTTGAGATGAGATTTACTGAATCTGTTTTTCTGTCTAAAAAGTTCTTGATTTGTGGAGCATGAGTACCTAATTATTTGGTTTTATTGTAATTGGTTCAGTTGATTCTTCAAACCTGGATGATGAGAGGAGTAAGATGATATCAAGTTCAAGAGAAAAAGTTTTTCAAACAAAGCAAGAGGGTGACAAAAATGAAGGCAAGTTCTCTAGAGGACCATCTAGTTCAAGGCAATGGTCAGGATTCAGAAATCCAAGAATTGTGCGAGTTTCTCGTTCATTTGGAGGAAAAGATAGGCACAGCAAAGTTTGCACCATAAGGGGATTGAGGGACAGGCGAATTCGCCTTTCAGTGCCCACTGCAATACAATTATACGATCTTCAAGAGAGGCTCGGCCTCGGTCAGCCGAGCAAGGTGATAGATTGGTTGCTTGATGTCACTAAAAACGATATCGATAAGCTCCCGCCGCTTCCTATACCACCTGGATTTGGTCACCAATTCCATCAACAGATGCTTCCATCTCATGAATCAACTGCTTCTCAATCTTCTCTTGCTCCTTTCTTTGATGTAAATTCTGCATTTCATCCTTTGTTGTCCAGCAAGGAAGGGATAAAAATCAATGGTGTTGATGGGGGAGATGATGATCAAAACATGTTGGGAAAACCTAAGTACTGGGATGTGGATTCTTCATTAATGAGGGCAAAAGGTAAAGAAGTTGAAAGAGAGGTTTTTTTCGAGAAAGGAAAGTGGATTAAAACAAATGAACAAAAGAATAATCAAGATCAAGGAAGCAACAATTACAGTGGACAAGCTTCAGCTCATAAGTTTTTTCCTCACTCTTCCTTACCTGTTATGTTGAACAATGCCGTGCCATTCAACTCCTACTACCACTGGGAGCCTTCATCAAATTTGTCTTTATCTCAATTTGGAAGCCATGAATTTCTGTCTCAAACAGAAAATTCACTCTACAGCAATGCTTTTCCATCGGGGTCTCACTTATTTTTCTGCCCACCGACAACAATGCCACCACTTTTGCCAACATATTCCCCGTATGTTTCAACTGCACCAGAGAATGAGTCCAGACAATTCAATCATTTCCAACTGTTGAGCTCAAATCCACACCATATTCTACCCAATTCTGCAACAATCACCTCATCACAAGTGAAACCTTTTTCATTGAACATAAATCCAGGCCTTTCTCATCCACAGACTAATCTCGAAAGCAACGCGGATAAGGAAGACACCTAGCAGCTAAACTCAATGATCCTATGACATGCATGATTTGCTTCAGCCTTGGCATGGACTGATGGTGAATTAATACAATTTCAAAGTTTGTGGGATATATATTGTGACATGGTTTATATGGTAACAGTTTTCTAAAACATATCAACGCAAGATTAATAGTCATATATAATGGCCATCATCTTGTGCCTTATTTTGTCTCAATTCGATCTCCTCATCCTGGTCCTGCTGCATGGATACAAACTGATGTTCGATGAACTGGGACAAGAGGGCCTTGCACTAAGGTGTGTTTCCAATATACAGTTAATTAAGACAGTCGTTTAGATACTTTTTCTTCTTGAATCAATTTCTGAACAATTATTATCTGCAGAGACTGATTAATGTTAAAAGGTGAAAGTTTGTACCGCAATATTTTTTAGTTTCTACATATACTGTATGAATACCATGTTTGATTAACACTTGAGTGCCACTTTTATACGTGCATATGATGCTTATATATATTTTAAAGTGAAAATAACATTTGATTGAGGTTAAACTCTTACAAATTAGAATATTTAGCCAGTAATAAGATGGTAAACTTCTAGTGTATAGCTTGCCTGCTTCATCCCCTTGATATAAATTTTTATGTCATGAACATTAGGCAGGTACTACCAATTTTTTTTTTTTTTTTGGTAACCGGTGTGCCTTAGTCAGTTTGCATGCACCTCAATTAATTCCCAAAACCCATTAAATACCCTATAAGTTCTATATTTTAGGTAAACCACAATTATGATAGATAACCTCAAGGTAATTTGAACACAAAAAGTCAATTAACTAGAAGTGATATGTACTTTCAAGATTTCTCTACTAAGCCAGCTAATAAATTTTCTTGAAAGTTAAGTGTGCGTTTCTCTAAATTCTTAATATATTTGTACAGATCAGGAGTACTTACTGAGAAATTCAAATATTACTCTTAAGAGAGAGAAGAAAGATGATCATGATAAAAGCTCTTAATTATTATAATTAGATTCAAAAGACGAAAATTTGGCTTCAGGAAGCAAGGGGTTGTCAGTTAGTAGTAATTAGCCCACCAAAAACAAACTGCATATGTATATTATTTAGCCAAATTAATGGTGGAAAAAGGTGACCGGCTTCAGTCTGCGTTGTTCACACTTGCCCTCAGGAGATATAGTGAGTAATCTGGTTACTACTTTGCTGACGGATGATTAAATATGCAAGTACTTTCCAATGAATAAGTGATTAATTTGGAAATATTAGTAGCTACATCTGCTTTTCAAGTCACATAAAATAAATAGGGTAATATTACACTTATAATCCAATCGTATAAATTTTCTCTCACAACTCTAACGTGATAGTTTACAATTGGTTTCTGATAAATTTTTCCGTCTAACCGATTACGAATTGTCATATCGGAATTATGAAAGAAAGTTTATAAGATTTGGTTGTGAGTCAATCTTTATTGAACATACATGATTTATTGTTGAGGTGTAAATATATCTCTTGAATCATAGAATTGGTATTCAAGAGCTAGCCCATGGTAGACTTTTGTAATGGGCAATAATACATGTTTAGGATCAAACCATAGAGAACTATGAATCAAGTTAGTAATGTAATTACAATCCTAAATGTTTAGGATGGACATCATTGACATTATGATTCCTCATCAACATATATAGAAGGAAATAAAAGACTTGTCGACTGCAAAAAGCTTTGCTCGAGCTTAATCACAGCTACTCTTGTAATTAGTGGAGAGGTAACTAAAGGGATCCGCTGGCATTATCCTGATTAATCTACTTAATTATATAAAGGTTAGTTTGCGATCGACTTCAATGAGTTTTCATGCATGAGGTTTAACCAAGTAATTTAATCATCTTAAGCTATGATATCCAAATTCCGTTCATGTTTTAATCAAAATGTTAAAATTTTTTTTTTCCCATATATTATATATATAAATATATTATATATATATTATATATATATATATATATATATTATATATATATCAAGTTCTACTTAGTTTATTCCATATCATCAAACTGTATATATGAAACATTCTCTGGCTTAATACTGGCTCTACATGATTAGGTTTTTCCAGCTAATTTTCATGCAGCTTATATAATATTATATTTATTATATATAAAAGCAGACACAAGTGATTACAAATACTTTAAAATTCATGATCTTCAGCTATATATAAAAGCTTCTCATTTCTCCAATAATTGAAGTTTCTATGAATATGAATATATGATGATAGAGGCATCCAGCGACTTCAAAACTCATGATCTTGAGCTTTATATAAAAGCTTATTAAATAGAATTAGCACCAGTATTAGCAATAGCTTTTCTGTTCTTAATTAATTACAACATATATATACATCCAGCATGAACCCAAACAATAGAGAATTGGTCTCTCTCTGATTCACGAGCAAGCTACAAAGATTAAACTTTCATGCACATACACACGCCGACCTAGCTACAACAAGAAAAACGGACGTCGAAACTTGTAGCTTCTACATCAAAACACTGCATGAACGCTCTGAAAGAGGGAAATTGAAGGGATGGAGGAGGGAAAAAGTGAGTGAGGCCTGAACTGGAATCTGCAATTCTTGTAAGATGAAAAGGATAGAAGAGAGGGTGACGCTGACTCATCTAATTGAAATCAACAGCTCACAAGATCCAAGAAACGTTAAAGGATAATATTGCAAGTTGGGGTACATTTAAAGCATGCTTCCATCCCGTGGCATCAAAAAGATTGTTCGTGGTCCTCTACTCTACTCCTTCCACATATTAAACATTTCAAAAAGTTTTATTTGTTTATTTAAAATTCATATTAATTTGATACAATATTTATCATCGTCATAGGTTTTAATATTCTATAGTTTTAAATTTTAATTAAATCACAAAGATATAATCTTTGTCCTACTTAAGAAATTTATGCCATAAACTAATAACTTTTAATTTAGTATGACATATAACTATCTCTTAGTGGTCAAGTGGTTCGATAGGGACTCTTAGGCATATTATTCAAAAGGTCATGAGTTCGAGTCCCTCCTCAATTGCTAATAAGGATAGTCACTAGAACTCTTACCTAGCGAATAGTTACAACGTGCATGTAAACTAACCCAGACATTCCCGATCATTAAAAAAAAAAAAAAAAGGACATATGACAAGTGAATATGATTTTGATTGAAATCTTTAAAGGCACGAAAGAAAAGAAAATAATGTATATATGATATTTATTGATTAGTTTGATGCCTAAATGATAGTGTCTTATGTATTGATAGAAGTTCATATACGAACTCTTGTATACAAAATTAAGTGATATTAATTTTGATTGTAAACAATCATCTTCATTTATTTAATTTTTATATTAACTTTTCAACCCATTTGGTGCTACTCATGAAAGTTTTTATATAAATTGTGGATTTCTAATATTTTTTTTAGAATATTTATTATTTTTTTTTTGGTCTCCGAACGTGTTTTAGCTAACTTGTACGTACTTCAACTAATTCTCTGGGACTTTAAAACTATCGGTCAAATAAGAATTCCAATAATTATCTTATCAATACTTGAAACTTGAGCTCATAAAACTTTATTTTGTTCCTTAACTATTAGACCACCCAATGATGGTTAAAAAAAAAAATTATTCTCAAGAGATTTGTTAAGGTTATTTGATCCGACACACGTAAGAGTATTAAAAATTATAATTTATTCGTAAAAAGATTATACGTATCTTTTTTAAATGAATAAAATAAGAATGTTATAAATCTTAAATAGAATTACTAATAGAGAAAAGGGCAAATTTGTGGAAGAGGAGTAGGCATTGGGCCTACACGCAGTGTACGCGTGGTAGTAGCTATAGCCTATAGGGTATAGGAATAGGAATGAAGAAGTATGAAGTGGTCCTTAAATAAAATAATCAAAATAAATAGTAATGAATGTACTATGCATGCCAATATAATACCTTGTAATTATCTATCCCTCCCTTAATTATTTTCTTCCTTTTATTAATCACAAACAGCCCCTACCTGTTAAATAATAGTTCTTAAAAACCCCTGCATTAGTCATCATATCAACAAAACCCGGTCTAATATCACGGGCGTGAGTTTCATACCAACAGACTAACCCTATCTATGCACTGCTTAAAAAGCACAGGCAGGATCTAGAGTTGCTGCCCACCAACCTCTAACTGCTAAACATCAACCACCACTGTCCTCTGTTAGCTTCTACTTGTTGCTTCAATACACTTTGCAGCATAAGAGTTGATGAAAACTACTGTCAAATTCAACCTTAATCTAATTGCTAGAATGTTCAAGCCCTTCCAAGGCTCCACCCTTCCTCTCTTTACAACTACTGTCAAATTCAAGAAACTGGCATTCTCCATATGTCAATTTCTCCAATGTCTTCCCTACTGAAAACGACCAACACATAACCAAAGTCTTGGGCATGCTGCAACAACTACCAAAAACGCCCCACCTTCATTAGTGTTCCTTTACATAAATTCTTAGAATGGGACTGTATTTTGCATATTATTGAGGTGAAAGAGGAGTAGCAATAGTCATTTCAACTCGAAAATGCCACAGAAGGTTACAAAACTACCTAAGCTTCGGTATGTCATCAGACAAAACAATAACAGACAGAAGAAATTTTATCACAAACAATAATTTCTTTATAAGAAAATTAATAAAATTATATAAATTAAAGAAAGTATTATGTAGAAGTGAAAAAAGTTTACATGTATGAATCTAGACAACCCCAAAAGCAAAAACTAACAAAAGATACAGGGCACAATGAAACGTCCTAAAATCTAGGAAAACCCTAAAACTATACTCCTTCAATCACATAACTGCAGCCTCCCAATTGTGAGCAATAAAGAAAAGAAGGCACAACTTAAAACTCAGACGACACAGAACAAAAGACCAAAACTTACCTCTGTCCCATAAGAATTCAGTCTCATCCACTTTTTTCTCTTAAAAAATTCTTCAGTTTCTTTCTATCCAAATGACCTAAAAGACACCCATAACAGCACAACCCCATATACTTTTCTATTACCTCCGAAGCTAGATTTAATTTCTGAAAGGATAGAAACAGAAGAGAGAGGAGCATCCCGGCAAAGGTTAGATGTATAAATAAGATTAATCCACATGCCAAAGTAAAGGGCATTGCAAAAACAAATGATGGAAACTCTCAGCCTCTGTTTACACATAATGCACTAATTAGGAGAGAGGCATGTCTTGAGTCTCTGATGAGACCTCCCATTAGTAAAGTATATCAATGTAAAGGGCATAAAGGCAGTAGGGTGTTGGGTGTGTGAGTGGGCATGTGTGCTTGTAGGAGTTGGTTGAAAAATATTCACGTGTTGGAGAATCAAGTTGTTAGTGGGAGGAATATTTTAGTTAAGGGATTAGTATATAAAGGGAGGGGAGTTTAGGGAAGGATAGGCATATTTTCAAAGGGTCATTAAGGGAGGTCCCCAGCTCCTCGAACTGCTGGGAATTATCTGTTCTTTGGCTTCTTGCTGTTTCTATTTTGTTCCGTTAAAATCTCATGTCTATTCAATCAATACAATACAGTTTTAATTCTAGAATGGGATTGCTATATTTTGCATTTTGGACTGTTTTGTGGCTGGGTTTGTTTTAAATTGACAGAGGTTCCCATCAGTCTCCTAATTTGAAGTCATTGGTGTTAGTTTTTCTAAGGCCTATTATCCTTGCCAAAATCTTTACTTGCAAGGAGCTTTTGCTTTCCAGACCAGACTTGAGGAAACAAAAATACAGATAGAAGGATCACTTTTAGAGTGTTAAAAGTAGGATTTGGTAGAGAACAAGCCAGACTTTCCAGGTATCCAAAATCTTTTATCCTCCCTCACATTAGAAAGGGAAACTTACCAATAATCCCAAGAAGGACAGCACATTCTACAGCTTCCATGTTACCATAAAAAACAATGGACAAGCAAGTGCGGATAGAAAAATTGCACATCCTTATTAGGCTCGAGAAAAACAGGGAGGTAATAAAAGTTAAGACAATCAGTTCCATGATTGCTCAAGTAATAAAAGTTAAGACAATCAGTTCCATGATTGCTCAACAATTACAAAGCTAATATGCCTGCAGAATGTAAATGTCGCAGCATCACAAAGAAAATGTTCCAATAGATAATAATGGGAAGAAATTCTTACAAGTTTAAAGTGAATTCATCATCAGCCAACTGCAGTTGCATTTGGATTTTATACAAACACATACATCAATAAAGTAAACTAAACAATTAAAATGTATGTGCAAGCAACTACCCTTATTGTCATCAAATATCACATCCTCTTTAACTGCAGTGTTGGAAAATTGCTATGCTAAAACGACCTACACTTCTTAGAGACAGCAAAAGAGACAGAGATGAATACCGGTGCACAAATTTTGCTACAATCCCACAAGCCTGGTAGAAAGCCATAAAGATTTTCAAAGTCACTAGCAGCAATGTGCACATAAAATAAATATATCAGCAATGTCTGAGAGAATAATAGAACATTCTCACTACAACAGGCCAAATATAGTCAGAAAACCCTGATCATATGAAAGGAAAACATAGAGCTATGTCACCTAAAATACCAAGCTTCTGCTTTGCCAAGCCACACAAACAAGAAGAATCTTACCCTCAAAATCCATGTTCTTGAATTTAGAATTTGTAACACTCAGCTACAATTTCTTATCTAAATTTTACAACTTAAAGCAAAAGATAACAGCACAGTTCATAACTTGAGCAGAAGAAGCAATTTCCCCATAAATTGGTGGGCAAGACTCAAGTCTTTGAGAAGCTTCTTCAGATAGAACGAGTTTACAATAACAAGTGTAGAAGATATAAGGAAAAAAGGGGCAATGGGTCAAAAATTATGTCTATTAAATTATAACGCCCTCGATTAATATATAATTTGTTTTTTATGAAAGGTTTTTATAAAGAATATAAATTAAGAATTACAAGAGAGAAGAGATTATCTCCTTCACAAAATTTCAAATTCTCGTATTATTTTAAATAGTACAAATAAGATTAGAAATATCACCTGATAACTTTACTCTTTTAAACTAGTAATACCATATAAAAAACCTCTTACTTTCCTTTAAGCTAAACTCTAAAGATGGAGATGTTGACTAAGATAGTTTCTTTTCTTCTTGCTAAGCTTGTCCATTATTTTGTATCTTCTTTTTTTCTTAATACAAAATTTTCGGTTCCTTCCAAAAAAATATATATATAGTTTAGTGAACATAAAAGTTTAGAAAATTATAGACATCAGTAAATTTCATAATTCATTCTCTAAACTGAAAATTTACATGTTTGGAGCACTACGTTAAAAATTCATGTAAAAATATTATACCTCATGATATTCAATGGAAAAACACTTTGATTCCACTAAATAAATTTGAAGGCATTACATTAAATGTCAAGACATTCTAAAAATGTACCACATTACTAGATGTCTTCAGATATTAATGATCTCGTGTGTTGCCAAAAAAAATTGCAACACAAACTCCTAGACAAGTATCCAGCTGATAATCTGACTAAAGGGCTAACACAAACTATACCAATGTAACAAGTAGATTGAAGTAAAAAATTAAAAAAAAATTAAAACCGCCATTAAGCTTTCAAGAAAAAATAACCTCAATCTTTTTTTGTTTTGAAAAAGAGGACATCACGTTAATTGACCTTTCACTCCTCTTCTACAATCTTTAGTCCAAAACAGAAGTGGATATCCCAAATAATTATAAACTTCCAGCAAACAGTCATAAGCATTCCCAATATCCAAGTTTCAAAACAACACTTTAATTCGTCTAGTAAATACATCCCAGAATCTTAGATAAAACACTATAAATGGATGGTATGAACTACTTAAACAAGCATCCTTGAACAGCAAACCACTATTATAACTACATCAAAAAATTCCATCAATGAAACAGAAAGATGCAGTCTGTTGGAAAATAAAAAATATGCACATCAGATGAAATGGTTGTTGCCATCTGCTCCAATAGCAAACCATTGGTTTAACTGAATAACTAACTAATGTAGATAAATCCTTCTCTTCGTATCTGGTCTATGGATCTTCTCAATTGGGGACTTTTTAGTATCAAATTCTCCCCTTCCCTTTTCTCAAAAAATGTCTACCTTAATAACATTATAGCCCCAAAATACTTAATACACAATTTTACTTCTGTAAACCCATCATCAAGTGATCCCACTTTTCCTTCTAAAGAGTAAAAACTAAAATTCTAAGACTGACCCGTATATATCTTCAAATTCATACAACTCTCATTGCCTAACATCAAGCTACAAAACTCAAACTTTTAAACCTCCATTTGTAATTCAATCAACAACTTCAAAAAACAGATTTTCAATAGACAAACAATAAATACCAACATTGCACAATGCATACACTCCGTAAAATGTCATTAAAATAGCACCTACTCATTTTCTATTCAAAATCAGACCCTCCTTCTACCAAAAAATAATGCCAAAATAAAAAATTCATAAATAAAAAAGCCCCTAAAATCAGTAAAACTAATAACTCCATCCAAAAAAAAACCTCCAAAATCCCAGAATACACAATTCCCATCACAAAAAATAACGAAAATAATCATAAAAACTTTAATGATCCATCAATCTAATCCCAGAAACGAAATTGTATTACAACATTTCGGAACTAAATAAACAAAATCCAAAAACCCTAAAATTTATTAAAACACAAAATCTCAAGTAAATTAATATAAAAAACAAAAACAAAAGAAACCCTCACCTATTTTCATTTCTGATAACCTCCACCGACGGCGTTATAATCCTCCTCGACCTTAGCGGTCAAATAAACGGGAGGAAAATCGTTGACGGTAAACGTCTTCTCCTTCATCATTTTCTCCACGTCAGCCTTTTTGAGAACGGTTCTGCGTATCGGGGGGCGGTTCCTGCGCTGGTCACGAGAGTAGTACTTGATGTCGAAAACGGTTTCCGGATTAGAAGTGGGGACCACGGGCTTCTCTTTGATGGTGGCGGGGCAGAGGACCCGGTACTCGGTGGCCAATGGTATAGCGGATTTGTATTCCGGGTCGGCGCAAGGGCCGGTTAATTCCCATGGCTTCTTCAGGTAACGGCGGAGAGACTGGAAGAGGGAGGAAGCGGCCTTCGCCATGGCTGAGCTGTAGAGAGAAACACAATGGATTCCTTAGATTGATGGATTGCACTCGCATAAAAATATTGAATTTGTGATTTTGATTTTGTTGCCAGATTTGAGGGGTTTTTTGGTTAGTCTACAAAAAATGTTGGATTATCTGAATTTACCTAAAAATTAGGGGTTTAAAACTTGGAATATTAACTTTGGATATTAAGCTCTCTTAAATGAAAATTAATTTTCAGTGATAACTCATAAGTATAATGATAAAATTATTTGAAAACTAATTATTTGGATATTAAATTTATATATTGAATTAATTTTGTATATATTGATTAAGTTAAATTAATGAGATTTTCTTCACTGAGTTAAATATTACAATTATCGAATAATTTTTTAATTTTTCTTAAATGTACATTTTATTTGTCCTTCAAGAACCCAAACGATTTTTGAGACTTATTAAGACTTTTATATTTATAATAATATTTTTTTATATTCTTTGGGGATTTTTGATAATTAAGAAATTATATTATTTAGATTTACAGTTGTGATGTAAAACTGCCACTCACTCTCTTATGCAACTTTATATTTTGGGATTAAAGCCCGATGGACCTATGGCTTTCTACGTGGTCTTGAGTTCAAATCGCCGAGGCCATTTAATGGTTTTAGCCTTTTCAGCCCGTGAATGTATAATGGTGAAAAAGGGTATTTTATTTAGGATCAATTATTTTAAAAATTGATTCAAAAATAGCATAAATTAAGGATATAAAACAAAGATTGTGTTATAGTTTTGTTAATTTTAAAAGAGTATTTCATTCTTCGAACAAATTTTATTATCTTTGATGTCCATGTTTATTCTTCTTTCTCTTTTTCCCACTTATCTTTCTTCTTCCTCCCTTCTTTTACAATTTAAAAGTCAAAACCAAAAACGGTTGGCACAAGATGACATTTGGCTTTTTGTATGCAGTCTCTATCATTTAAATATATGATATTTATTTTTATTTTTCATCGAACAAATGTTATCTTTTGTAGAAAATTCTAGGGTGCGTTTGGTTCAATATTTCTACCCATATTTCCAATCATATTCTCCAAATATTGTTTGACACATTATTCCATAAATATTACTATTTTTTTAATTACTTTTAGACCCTTTAAATTTATTAATTTCATAAATACCCCCCAAAAAAGTTTAAAAATAAACAAAAACACCTCCATCAACCCATACTTGCCAGATTCTGGCAACCACCGTGCGTGATAGCCGGAAGCTGTACAACACGCCTATACCACGACGGCCACTGGCCGGTAGTTCACCAATCGCCGTCAAGATGGCAGTCTTTTGGCCTTTTCCGGCCGTTGGCGGCCACAACAGCCGTGGATCTGGCCGGAAAAGGCCATAACGACGCGTTAAAACACAGATCTGACCCGTCTGTGTCGTAACGCAATTTTTCGGCCAATTTTTGGCGTGTTGGCCGAAGTCTGGCACTGTAGGTGGTGGAGGTGTTTTGTCTTTTTATATGTTAGGGTGTTTAATTAAATTAGTAAACCTAGAAACTTTTTTATAAATTTTTAAATTTTACCTTGTAATACTCCCCTATTTAACTATTCAATATTATTCCTAAAATCTTATCCAAATAAAAAAAACGCACTACTATTCTCACCATGATATCGTGATCTTGTTGCTATTACTCAAAAAGCACGAAACATATGTTTGCATATTTGTCCATAGTTTGGAAACTTCGACGTCGGTCCAAGAGCATGGTATTTATATACAGTAAAGTAAATCTCTATGGTGATACCCTATATAGGAATAAACTCTATAAAGTCATAAAAAAATTTATTCCCAATTTGGGATTTACAATAAAATAAACTCCACATTGTAATAAGCTATAATATTTTATTTTTCCATCTTAAGGAAAGTTGCCTCCAAATAGTAATAATTATTGTATATGGCAAAAAAATGTATGTTATATTACATTAAGGTTTAAAATGAAATAAATATTTATCTAAAGTTGTTTGGGACAACGATTATTTCTTAGAGTTGTTTTACATCTTTAACTTGCAAGTACAATTACTCGCTAGCATTGACATTTTTTTTGTTGAAGCCAAAACATTTATAGTTTCTCAAGCTGTTTAAGTTTCTTGACATGAGATTTTTTATATTATCATCCTTATTATTATTTCCTTTAATTCTTGTCTAATGTAGCAATGATTTTTTATTCAGTTAAAGCATAGTGACTTGTTGCTTATTTGGATTTTGAAGAAGACATAATATCTATTTAATTAGTATAGTGAAACTGTCAAATCTGATCACTCAATTCTACAATGATTCTTTGATTCTCCTCATTCACTTCACTTGTAATTGCAATTCATCGACATTGGGGTCCTAATTTTGCAATGCTTAAAACAATTGACAATTGTCCGTGGCTTCACTCAATTAATCATGCACAACTGCATTTACAATTTCATCCAAAGACACTTATATTTGTTGGTTCCAAGACACGATCTTCTATCCGTTTCAAAAATAGGCAATTAAAGTGCTAAATTGAACTCTAATACTATAAACATGAATTGAAATCTTAATATTGTATTATTAAAACATGAATTATAAATAATAATTTTTGTAACTAAATCTCTATTAAGTTATAACCTCCTCAAGTTAAATTTAGTTAGTTCCACCATTATGACTATAGAGAGGTTTTACTGTATTGTTCAACTCATTGTAAATCTAAAACTTTTGCTTACATTTTCAATAAACTTATAACATTAAATATTATGTAAGATTATACGGAAAAAAAAAAAAAAAGTAGAAATGTTTTTGGATTTGCTTGTTGATTTTGAATGATTGTTATAGATGTAGTGATGATTGTTCAAATATGATATTTGGTGGTGTTGTATGCTTATTTGAAAAACTTTAAGTACAAGCACAAAGAGAGTCTTATATGGGTGTAAAAACACTAAAAGTCACTACTAAATTAGAATTTTGCTTATATGCAGATGGTGTAGAATAATCGTTAGCTCTTGAAGACATAAATCATAAATACAATAAGCACAAGTACAAAGAGTAATTAATGTATAATATTGTAACATAATAGCGGAAGGGTGAAACAAACTTATATCATTCTAATGAATAATCAAATCTCTAATATATTCTTGTATAGCCTAAGATAATCTGAGTAAACACATAAATATAGACATTTTATCTTTTTTAAAAAAAAAAAAATGAGAGGTCCCCATAGCCCACTATATTTTTTATTAGATTTCAGAAGAAGGTTGATTAAAAACAATAATATGAGAGGTCCTCTCCTAAATAATCTTTTTTTTTATCATTTCATAAAAAAAAAATTGGGGCTCAATGTAATTACCCCTTAATATAAATTTAATTGATTTTTTAAATCACAAATGGTTCATAGAGGACCTAATTATGTAAAAGTCTTTTTCAGACTTCTATTTTTATATAATAAAAAAAAAAAATCTAATCTTACCTACCTTTTGTATTCACGCCAAAAATGAAATTGAAAATTAGGTAATAAACCCCAAAAAACCTTGAGAAGTCAATACCCAAATTCTGAATTATCACCAATTTCAAATAACTTTAATTGAAAAAAAAAAAAACCAAACCAATAGCCAAAGAGACCTTTCTTTGTTTGATCTCATGTCACAATATTTGCAAGAGAATAATATTTATATATATAAAAATAAAAACCTTTCATCTCTCCTTTCTCTAAATCTCTCTTCAGTATCTCTGCTCTTTTCTCTCGTTTGTCCTTCATCCTTTTCTTCGTTCTCACGCTTCCTCACTTTCTCTTTTTCTCACTCTTTTAAGATCTCCTCCTCCCTCTTCTTCTCTACCGCAAACTACCACTACCAGGTACTCTTCTTCCTTCTTTCCGACTTTTTTCGCTTCTTTACTTATGTTTTCCTTTGATCTGTACTTCTTGTTGCTGTACTATCTCACTGATCTGGATCAACCCATATTTCAAATTCGATTTTTCTTTCGGGGTTGTTTTAATTTTTTTTCTTATTTTTGTGTTTTTCTTTAGGGTTTTTCAGGGTTTTTGTGCTTTAATGGAATTAGGGTTTGTTATTGCATTAAATGTGAATTTTTTCCTTTTTTTAGTGGACTTTTTCTTATGGGTATGTTGCATTTTTTACTTTATCTTTGTCTTTTGCTGTTTTTGTCTCTCTTTGCGAATAGCTATCTGGTGTCTGTATGTGTTTTGCTCTTTCTGACTGTTGCTTTTATTAGTTAACCTCGCACTTTGCTTGATTGATAGCAAAAGATCTTCATTCTTGGATTTTGTCTCCTTTACATGTTTTGATGGCTTCTGGGCTTGCAAACTGATTCAAATTGTTTCTGAATTTATACGGTTCAGCTGTTGTGGTACTTAGTTTATGATACCCCTATTACTAGTTGGAGATTTCTTAAGTTGTGACTGATTTACCTTTTGGTTCTATTTACTTTATGAAGTTTATCTGAACCCAAGGCACGGATCACTATGAAATCTCTCCTTCCATTCCAGTTTGATTCCACGGTTTCATAGCGTATTCATATTAAACTTGGATGTGCACTTGTACACTGAAACATCTATATCTTAATTTACTTAGTCTTCTGGGGCACTGGAATTGCCTCTGTTTTGTATTTGTATTCTTGTTTATTTTATAAGTACCTTTAATATATAGTATAACTACTTTGTATTCAAATAGTAGCCTTTTTTTATTTAAAAAAAAAAAAAATCTTTCAACAGAAAGGGGCACCTGGTGCATTTTGGAAATGTTCTTTTTATTTAATCTTTTGTTTATAGATATGTTTTGCTATATGTTAATGTTTTCCTAACTTGTAGATGGCAGCGCAAAAGGCAGTGCAGCTCCAAGTGCCCAAGTTGTTGGCAATGCCTTTGTGGATCAGTATTACCATATTCTTCACCAGTCCCCGGGTTTGGTGCACAGATTTTACCAGGATTCTAGTTTGCTGACCGTCCAGACGCCAAGTGCTATGACAACAGTGACAACCATGCAAGTAAGTTATCGGGAACTAAGATCGGTAGGAATACACTTGCACATAATTTATAAATGCATGTTGAAATTTTAATCTTTTGCATCATACTGTTTA